CCAGGAGCCACCGGTTGCTGCGGCGGGCTGCCGGGGGTTTCCGTGTCTGCCTGCTGACCGCTCAGGTAGCCGATCACCGGTGGCTGGGTCCCGGCGTAGAAGGCTGTCGCCGGCAGCCCAACAGGGAGCTGCTCGGAGGCGCTGTGGGTGGTCTGAATGACGGTGTGAGGGGACAGCGTGGCCACTGCCTTCACCCCCTCGTGGCCCAAAGCCTGCTGCGGAGACAAGGCGTAGGACCGGTGGGCTGGCTTTCCTAAGTGCAAGCTTCCCTTGTCGTTGAGGGTTGAAGGAGAGGTCTCGCGGTTGGTGGCCTGCTGCACCTCCATGTCCGCCGTTGGCGTGCTGCTGTTGGGGACCACCATGATGGAGGCTCGGACACCTGAGGAATCCCGCGCGCCATACTCGGCGGGGCTCGAGTGGACCACCACGTGCCTGGTCTCGTAATGATGGGGAGCTGGTTTATTGCCTGCTTTGACTAGACCCATGTCGGCAGAGGGCGAAATGCCGTACCTCCGGCTCTTCTCTATCTCACCGTTCAGTACCTCCTTGGCCTGCATCGCCTGCAGCCGGCTGCTCTCAGGCTTCTTGGGGGGATCCCTGGTGACGAAGTGGCCCCCCGAGTCGGTGTACTGCACCACCACTTGGGAGGAAGGGCCGAGGGTGAGGGTGTGCGGGATCACTGTCTGATGGGGGTGCAGGGGGACCGGGATGGTTGGAGGAGAGACGTTTCTGACAGTGCTCTGGGAAGAGCTGGAAATGTGGACGTACTGGTTCTGCTGGGTGGGTGGAGGAGACCCAGCGGCGATCAGTCCAGGTGTCCTGACCAGGTGCGGCTCAACTTTGTGGCCCTGCTGGCTTAAGCCGCTCATGCTGGCCAGCAAAGTGGAATAAGCCTCCAGCTGGGAGCGCTGGGATGGAGTGGTCGCAACGGCCGTGGCCGCTGCCACGGCGCTGGTCGCAGAATTGGCTGTTGGGGAAATCAGCTGTGAGGGGATGAATCCGGTGTACGATCCGCTGTACTGGGGCCCGACGAACTGGAAGGTGTGCTGCAGGTGTGTGTACTGCACGGGGGAAACGGGGGTCCCTGACTGGGAGAGGGCGGGCGAGTACACCGTGGGAAGAGTGGTGGAGGCTGGAACGGACCTGGGTGCGCTCGGTGGGGAATAGTCCAGCCCTGCAGACAGCGACTTGTGCAAACCCTGCTGCAAGCCCGCCTCCACCGACGACGTCCCCCCGGGCCGGTGCCGGCCCCCCAGGCCGCCCTGGCTGCCAGGTGTGCTGGGGAGCCATGCTAGGTTATCCGCACGGTGGTTTTCGTTTGGCAGGACCGGCTTCACCTCCGAAGGCAGGCTGGTGGCAGGGATTTCTCGCTTCTTAGGTGGCAGGCATTCATTGCTCCGCTCTTGGTTGGATTTCATCTTTCGCCGTCCCCCCTCCACTGTGCTTGCTTCACTGTCTGGCTGGCTCTGATTTCAGTCTGATAAACGGAAAGTCACATTTGATTTCTGCAAGGGATCCAGTGACTTCATGAGGAATCATCTCCCCGTGAGCACGATTCTCTGACGGCTCCTCTGGATTCTGCAACGAGAGGGTGGGCAAGGGAGGGGGGAGTCACACCGTCAGTGCTGAGAAATGAGAACAAATGAGCAGACACCCCGAAACAGCAAGCGAGTAACAGAAAAACCTCTGGAAAAAACAAAACCGGTCAGGCATTGCTGCTCTCATGTCAAGGAGCAGTTGACAGCTGTGCTGTAAACAGCAGTGAAAATCCTGGGCACGTCTGCTAAGGCATCACAAAAATGATTAAAACTTTAGGCAGATCAGAAACTCTCTGGCCATAACTTGCCACAGTTAGCAGTGGTCACTTATTTCCCAAGGCTCACTTTCTCCTTCCTCTGGGAAAACCCTCCATGTCTCTAACGTGCCCAGTTCGCTCTTCCAGCCTCTCCTTCCCCTGCAATGACAACGTTGCCTTCACCCTGCCGTGTCTAAAAAGCATGGAAGCGCGGCAGGGAGCCCCAAGGAACATGCACACACAGATTTTTACATTAGGAACAAGTAGCTATTAGCGGTGCGGAGGGAAGGTGGTGGGTCAGCCCTGAACTCTTGAACCCCAGAGTCACCCGCAGGGTGACTTCACATCACCCTGGGCAGGGCTGTGGAGGGCAGCAGCTGCCCCCCCACGCCATGGCTCCTTATGGGCACACGCGCCCTTCATCTACCAGTCTGGCAATGAACCTCGGCCATGCGATCTGTTTACAGCAGCAGCCCAGAGCCAGAGATGGCTCTGAGCCAGGTTTTTAATGTGTGGGGTTTTTTTTCCCCAGCGCTTTGAACTCCCTCTGCTACCGATACCTCATGCCCAGGTGCCTGGGAGATGCCCCCCCACCACACGCAGGTCGGCCAGAGCCAGGCGCCAGCACCATCTCCACCTCTGTGGGGATCCGATCCCCCTGCTTCCTAGCGACTGCCAGACCAGGGAGGCTGTGGGTACCGCACTCGCGGCCACAGCCAATCGTCCAAACCCTGAGCAAACAGCCCTGGGGATGCCTCCCTAGGACCGCTTGGAAAAGCACGTTTGGTTTTCCTGATCCAAACCAGAAGCCCCCACCAGTGTAAAAGCTCACGATTTTATATTAGGCTAGTTTTGCTATTGGAGCAAAACAGTTACTTTCTTTGCCCTGCATCACTTAATTCAGTGATTTCAGCCACCCAAAGGCAACAAAGTCAACAAAGTCTTCCTAACTCTTTCATTATCTGCTAAGGAAAATACCGTAACTAAATCACATCATGCTTTGGAAAAAAGCAAAAGGAGCTGACAGTCTCCCCCTACCTTCCTGAAACCTGCCTTGCCTTGTCCCATAACAAACTTTACAGAGAGTGAAACTCTCCCCCTGCCCCTGTCCAGCCGCCGCCTGCCATCTGCATTTCTGGCTGTTTTGAAAGATATGCAAGAATGGGTGCTGAGAAACCGTGCACCTCACACAGCCAGCACCCTAACAAGAAAAGTGTGCATTATACGTAAGAAAAATGGAAAGAGAAAGAATTAAGAGTGGATGTGAAAGAAGATGGAAATAGGATATAGCCCACTTTAAGGTGAATGCTGAGCAGCAGTAATGATACTGATGGCAAGTAATATTCCTTTGGGGGATTTCTTTCCCTGCTGCCTCGCTTCTAATGAACAATAAGCCTGATGTTTATATGCATACGCAGTACTTTGAAGACATACTAGACTAAGATTAAACCTATCTTTAAGAGCACTCTTTACGTTTATGGTCCTCCAAGCTGCTGTAAGCCTGCAGGAAAAGTCCAAACCTTCTAGTGGTTTGGTACAATCAGTCTTCAGTTAATTATTCCGTTGTTTAAATATTGATAAACAGTAATGAAACACCAATAGCCACAGAGCCGGGGGCGGGGAGGGGTAAAGCGCCGTTTAAGGGCGGATTCCCTGGCTTTGAGGTGAGAGGGAGGACGAAAGGACTCAGGGCAGCTTCTAAAGAGCAAGGGCCAGCGACGCCTTGAGCACAGCGGCTCGGGGGCAGCAGCACCCGCCGGGCAGTGGCTTGGCACCGCTACCCTGACCTGCCCTGACCCGCCAGCACCGCCGCCTCGGCGCTGCGACCGCGGCCGGACAAGGGCAGCCAGGAGACAGGGTCCCCGCTATATCAGCACGGGTCTTCCCCCTCCTCCTAACAGTTGCTCAGCGTGTCTTGGCAACAGCTAAAATTATTATATTACACATGACTTACAGATTTTTATTTTTAAGTTCAACTAAAAATAAAATCGCCGAGCTCACATTTGCGCAGTCATCCTTGGTTAACTTTAGCTGGCTGTAGCCTTCTGCCCTGGGCAGTCAGCTTTGGCAGGTAAAGTCAGCAGCTCCTGGCCGAGGCGGCTGCCCAGGGATGCCGTGGGGGGACGCCCCCGACGCGGGGTGTTCATCCCACTCCCCTTGCCACGGGGAGCTCGTGCTGGGCTGGGACCGTCCTTCCACCTCTCGTGGAGACGGACATGAGCTGCAAACCCCGAATTTAAACACACTCCCATGGGGAAAAGCTGGGAGCAGAGGGCTGGCCCCTCTGCCTGCAACAGAGCAGGGAGCTCGTACGTGGGACCGAATAGGGCCAGTCTCTTGCTGTGACGGACAAACCAGGCTCCCCCAAACTAGTTGTTCCAAAAGCCTGAGGTGCCTGGAACTACTACGTCAAAAGTATTACTATGAAGCTGTATGAAACCTGGTGAAGTTTCACTCTGCAGAAGCTGAAGCAAAGGTTTTTCTTCTGCTAAATAGCACTGAATCATTGAGTTTTGGGTAGCCTCCAAAGTCAAAGCTAACATCCTTCAAAAATACCAAATACTCAGTCTTTCAGGGATTTTTTTGTGTGTGTGTAAATCTTTCATATGGCTGATTTCATCATCACCGGTAACAAAAGGGCTGCCGAAAATCTCTTGGAGAGCACAGGAGGAATGAACAAGCTTAACAGAGACAAGGGATGAGACAGCCGTAGGGCGGTGAAGACTGCCCCACTTTTCCAAGCCCAAGTACTTCACGGTGAGACTTTGAACTCTAACAGACAGAGGACTGGATTTGCAGAAATGCAAATGTGCAGCATAAAACAGCCTACTTCTACTTCAAGACTTAAAAGTAAAACGATAACTTTTCAGCATAATTCAACTTCCAGCAGCAGCAAAGATAAGACAGGACTGATTTTGCTCAGGAAGCAATGAAAGGGAGACAACCCAAACAGAGCGTCTCAAAGGCAAGAGGTACAAGACCTGGTTAAGCTGTTCTTTGCTGGCTGTCCTAGACAGGTGAACACCTTTTGATGTGTGGCGCACGGTTTCCTATGTGTATGCTTTTTTTCTGGATCCAAGTCCTTTTTCTGACTCTCGAGGTTTCCTTTCCCTTTAACTTCAGAGCTGTCGATCACGGTTTGCGAGATATGCAAACGAGCAGCAAACACCAGGTGATTTTTCGCTCCTGCTTTGTACGTGTGTGTATCACACGGGTGCGTGCGTGCGTGCACGCCTGTGTAATTATGGCTGGGAAGGTAAAGAGGACAAGAGATCAGGGACAGCAGCTGGACTTTGGTATCTCTGGCAGCGAGTACACATGGAACATTGCTAAAATGTCTGGACAGCCAGTGTCCGCTGGCAGCCTGCCCACACTCAAATTCCTGGAAAGGCTTAAGGCAGAAAAATAATCACTTGGAGGAGTCACCATCTGGGCTTGCTCTGGTCTCCAAGGGATTGCTCACTGGAGCTCAGGATGTGCATTTTTCATGCAAAACTCCAGCGTCTCTCTACAAGGCACTTTAAACCTCACTATGTCTCCCAAAACAGTATTTTTCTGTTTATTTCTTCTAATAAATTTAAAACTCATGAGAGGATACTGGGTTATAGCTTGAGGGGCTGACCTCCTTTATTTATCCGGAGTTCACTGCAGCAAAAGCAAAACCAGCAACACAAGCCTCCGTCCACACCGTAATCGTACGCTGTGTCCCACCAGCCAGGACTGAGTCTTGGGGTGCAGAGAAGTTGGGGCCAGACCCACAAACCACCGCAGCACCTGGCTATGCAAATGGTGGGACTTTAACTACCTTCAGAAATCAGGCACTTTTTGCAGTCCCATGATGTAGCTAATGTCATTTTTAGGTCTCTAAAACACCTTCAAAAATCTAGCCCCTCATCCTCCCTGGTCCCTGACCTTTCAGTAGCTGCTAACAAACTCACACCGACATTTGCCACCAGGAGCAAGGGCTGGGACCACCCCCTCATTTTTCTTATTGCATGGAGCAGCCATCCAAGGGGGGGCAGCCGTCCGCCTCCAACTTCAGGGATATTCAATTCAAAAGCCACTTATTGTCAAAATGCTCCTTTGAACGCAAGCCCTAACAAGACACAGATTATTACGACTTTTTAACTTTCACCTTCTGGCTCCAGGTATGACTAGTAATTTCTCACATTCATCCGTGCAATAAAAAAACTGGGTATCCCCTCTGTCAGAGACCGTTGCCCTGCCTGGCAAGCAGACATCAATGCAATATTCAAAGAGTACACCAAAAAAAAAAATCCTTTGAATCGATCCTGACACGCAGCTCTTTATGTCTAGGGTGTTACTGGGCAGAACCAGCAGCGCACTCTGATGCTCCTGCCTCAAATTGCCCACCCATCCCATCACGATAGGATGAGCGGGTAATTTCGGCAGCACTGGAAATCAGTGGGAAAGGAGGGCACTTTGTCCCACCTCTCCCCTCCCCTGCGAGGAGGTAGGCATCTTGCAGGATCAGATTCAGAGAGATTAAAAGACAGACACATTGCAGAGGGCTCCGCAGCTGCATTCTGGCTCTCAGATCTATATGCCAGCTTTCCCCCCCCGCCCCGCTCTACACCCTGCCCGCTGCCAGCTACATATTCATAGTTGTAACTGCTACAGATTTCATTAGCCTTGCCATGTGCAGCTCAGCACATGCCAACAATAGCTATAGGAGTTTATTGTCCAATCCAACCAGTTTTCACAGCACTCTGGCAGATTTCCCAGAAGGGCCAACTGCAGAGATCCATTAATAAGAAACATG